AAAAAAAAAGAGAGAGAATGGCTAAGCAGAGGATAATTCAGCCTCCTCTTTGATGTTGGCCCTGGGAGCTGTGCCACCTGTTTGTAGCTGGTAAGCACCTGCCAGCCAGTTGACCTTCTTATTTGGCTGTTACCAGCAAGAGCATTCCTGTGGTGAGCCACTACCTGCACAGGGACTGTGAAGCCAATCAAGTACAGAAAAGAAGGCATTGCTTAGAAGGAACACATATTCATTTTGTTTATTCTTGGCTTTTGAAGGTTTAAATGTAAATATATTACAAATCATAGTCCATAAATAGATTTAGAAAGGAAAACCTGTTATTCCTTTTTCACTATAATGATGGAGACAGAACAGTTTATTTATATGTCATAGATTTAAACTAATGTACACCTTACACTTGCATGTACACAAAAGGCAAATGAGAAAAAAAAAAAAAAAGAATGTTAGCAACTAGGAATAACTTTAGAGACCAGTTGGTCCAACCCCTGCTTTTCGGAAGGAAAATGTAAGGCCAGAGATTAACAGAATTGCTCAATAATACAAGTAAAGTTAAGCAAGTCGGTATTTTACCCATAGTTAGTATATACAGTATTTTTCCCATATATAAATGATGTACAGGTAAAAAAAAAATCTCATGAATGTCTTTGAATTTAATGTTCAGGCATCAGATATTTGTTAATCACAATACTCAGAGACCTACTTCATTCTGGGTGGAAGAAAAAGGAATTTACTTTTTTTCATATGATAGGGAATTAATTCTACAATAGGCCAATTCCCAACAATTATTTTCCAGCCCTCCTTTAAAATGTACCTCTTCAGAAACTTAAGACGTAATAGATTTCCCTATGTTTCAGCTGAGTAACCCATTCAGGGTCTTTTTATATGTTCACAGGTTGTTTGCCTTCCTTCTTTTGGTTTCCTGGCTGTATATCCTTGCCCTTTTGCAGGGAGGGGTAATGGAGAGGGTTTGTTTTTAAATTTTTAACTCTCTAAATATGCCAAGTACCCTTGTCCATGACATAAGTTATAATTTTTTCTCCTAGTTTGTCAGTTGACTTTGCTTATACTGTTTTTTCCCTATCTTCCATAATTTTAAAGAAAACTTGAAGTTGATGTTCAGCTCACTCTTTATATTTATCAAGGTCAATATGGCAGAATACACTCTAAAAGAAACTTAAGGGGTGCCTGGGTGGCACAGTCAGTTGAGCATCCGACTTTGGCTCAGGTCATGATCTCACAGTTTGTGGGTTTGGGCCCTACGTCCGGGTCTGTGCTGACAGCTAGCTCAGAGCCTGGAGCCAGCTTCAGATTCTGTAACTCCCTCTCTCTCTGCCCCTCCCCTGCTCACGCTGTCTCTCTCTCTCTCAAAAAAAAAAAAAAAAAACAACAAAAACATAAAAAATAAAATAAAAGCAACTTAAAACCCAGGATTACATGGTAGGTAGCAGTAGTCATATGCAAATCTATTGTTAAATATTTAGAAAGATTATATTATTTTCTAAATTATGAGCATGACCCTTAATATCATACTAAATAATTTTTAATCTCTAAGTATGTGGACTAGTTAAGGACTCCAAGACCACTTATTTATATACTAACTTTTTATCTTCTTATAAGTCATAGTTTCTTAATTTATTTGGTATATTCTGAATCCATACAAAAGTAAGCCAGTTGCTTTTGTAATAAAATTATTCTTTTATTTAAAATAGTATGTTTTTATAAAGAATAGAGTAAAAGTGCTTTTGAAACAGAACTTAAGGAATATCCAAAGCTCATTGTTTAAGATATTTCTCTTGAAAACCTCTCCCCCAGAATCATTTAATGTTTATTTAATAAACAGAAAATATTCTTTATCCTAAGGTAAGTAAAAACTGATATAGCTATATTTTACTCTGATCTAATAGGAGGAGATTTTGCTGTATGAAAGAAAAAGTAACTATTTAAGAAAGACTTGTGTATAAAGAAACATATCAAGAAAGGTTATCAGAAAATGAATCCAAATACTAACAGCTTCCTTCACTGAGTAGTCGAATTATATGCGACTTATTTGTTTTTCATGTCTCCCTCTGGATTTTCAAATTCTTGTTAATGAGCCCATTCCATCGTATGGACATTTGAAAATAAGAAAGGAGAGTGACAAATTTGTAATCTAAAGTCCTAGGCAACACCTTCTTCCATTAGGTAAGTGAGACTATTTATATACCCCAAGAGCAGTCTTCTCCCCTCAGTAGATGGTGTGTGCTTTCAGCACAAGGCAAGAGGGTGAAGGAGTGACATAATCCAGACTAAAAGGAGGGAGCTTTGACTAGATCCTGGGGGCGCTTCCGCATCTCCAAGTGCACAGGCTTGCATCTCTGTGAGGTCACTTCCAAGATTTTACGCATTTCACATCTTATTCTCTTGAAATGAATTGGTTCCTTTCCAACCAACATTTTAATTCGAGGTGTTCTCCAGCTTTATATACTTTGTCAGGAAGGGCACTGAAATAACAGGATATTTTTATTTAGATGTCAGCATGGCTGAAATGAATTACTCAGAATTTATTGCTGATAATCGTAATGATAGCCTTATACAAAATTATGAGTTCAGAAGAAATGTTTACTGCCTCTTTTATGGTTGCTCTGTAGGGCCCAAGAAGATATTGCATAAGTTGAGACACTGAGTAGATAAGAGAGCGATTAATGAATAAGCTGACCTTTCCTCATTCCTTCTTTTATCAAAGGAAAAATGTTCTCAGCATTGGGCAACTAAATAAAAAGAGCCTCATTCCAGAAACATAGGCTCATCCTAACACAGCAAATATCTCTGAATCTCTTCTGAGCCGTGTTGTGGCCGGGAAAGTAACCAGGAGCAGGCAGCTTGGAGGAGGGCCCGCCCCAGAGAACACATCTTCCTCCCCTAACACAGTCAGGGCTAAAAGAAATTACTGGATCGTCCATGATGCCCAAATGCTTCCCTGCCCATGCTGAGCCTCTCCTCTTCGTAACGGCCGGACTGTCCTTCTGCCAGTAGACATCTGATCCCTGATGAGGCCCATCGGCTCACGGACACCCCGTTATTTCTGCCACCTGATCTCCCATCATTGTTCCCTTTCTACCTCGTAAGACTTCCCAGCACCATTTGTTACCTGCGTCGTCTTTGAACATGCTCATGTCCTTCAGCATGCAGCTGTGGCTCTGGAGTCTGCCTCCTTCCCTGTACCTCCCTCTCTGCCCTTGCACCTGGCTTGGGCGTCTGGGTCTTAAGCTTGGTATAGACACTAACTCACTCCTTGTCTACCATATGTTGCCCCAGACGATCAACCTTGCTCCCATGGCCAAAATCCCAATCTTAAAAAAGAGATTTGAGACAAATTCATTAAGAACTTCCTATATTATTATTATTATTAATATAATAATATACAATGCCAACATATACAATTTGACATGTACCTTCATGTAAAAAAAAAGTTTCCAAAAAGTTGAAGATAAATGACATTTTGATAAATTTATTCTCAACTGTTTACTGTATACTTCTCATTTCATCAAGTCTATACTTAGAATTTGGTGAAATTTAAAAGAAGTCCCTGCTTATAAGTTAACTTAGTATGGGAAAGAAAACACATAAGTATGATATTGGTGTATTATAAGTGACAAATGTTTGAAGAATGAATGAGCAAATGAATGAATGCATTGGTATTAATTGGCAAAAACAATAAATGAAATATTGAACCCTAAGGTATATAAGCTTATATACAGTTTTTAATGTCAAGGGAATGGCTGTCATTTGGTGGAAACCAAACCAGGATTTAATGTTATACAGTCAACATAATCTCAGTGTATAACGCTGAGCTTACGTACTTTATACTTATCCGTATTTTCTACATTTTCAATAAGCACATATTACCATTAAAAGAAACTATTTTAAAAACGCTATAGACAGTAAGTGCTATGAGTTCCCAAGAGCTATGAGTTCCCAAGAAAGACATTACTTTGGACCAGAGCACATTGGGAGGGCTTCTTGGGTGAGTGAATTCTCAGCGGAGTTAATGCAGATTTGATTGGAAGAAAAATGGTAAAGGGTTTAGGTAGGTAGCCTGGCAGGATTGAGGAGATATCAAATGATATTTCAAGTACGCTTCTATATTATTTTTAAATGGACTTTTGTAAAGGCCACCATTGCCCTCACAGTGGACAGTTACTTTGTGTGTTTACAGTTGGTGGCCTCCCGGCCAGATATGAATCAGTTTGGCCCAGCTTTGCCCTCATAGTAAAGGACAAGCAGTACATCACCCCAAGACCCTTGGAGGCATAATGTAAAGTGTCACTGAAAGCATTGTATTATCTGTCTTATTTTATCTTACAATCTATATTATATGACTTCTGTCCCTATACACATGTATTTGCGTTAACATAAAAGTAATGCTCTTTTCCTTTCAAACTATTGGAATCACATTAGAAAAAAAGAAATACTCTCCTAGGAAGTCATGCTGTTCTTGTCTCATGACTTCTATATCCTACTGATATACTAGTCAAGCTTCTCCAGGTATATGCAGATGCTCTTTTGAGAAGAATCAGGCTGGTGATCATTACAGCTTCAAAAAGTTAATTACTAATACTAAATTTTTAAAAAGCAATGCACATTTCACTTGCTTCCGTAAACAGTCATGAAAAACAAACTGTTCAATGAAAGCAAGGTGAGTACAAGCCAGAAAATAAACCTAAGGATTCTCAAATTTCTATTTAGGAGAAACTTTACCATACCCTATATATTTGTTCAGAAGATTTGAATGGCTTATGTCTTGATTATAAAATGCCTTTCCCCCCCTTACCCCCCCCCCCCATTACCTTTTCCTGTGGCCACTTTTACTGTCTAATGTTGAATTTAAGATTTGGGACATGTTTGCAGATAAAATGCCAAGTTTAGATGAATGCACAATGATATATGGGAAAGAGGACAGAAAGGAAATTTACTAAAGCATGTGATACTTTTCTGCTTTCTACAGGAGAGGCCAGTCTCCTTTATGGACTTTTAGTGCTGGGGTTTCGGACACCCAAGAATCTGAATAAAAATTTTAGGATACCCAGGCACAGCCAACGTAAGCAAGGACTGGGTGAATTGCTCTGTATGATTTTAAAAAAATGGAAATTTGAATTTACAGCAAAACCAAGAATCAAAATGAGGTACCCTGAGAACACATTAAAGACTTTAACAAAACTGACAGATGTCTAATGTGAGAGTGGCCTAGGCAAAGGGTGGAAAGCCAAGGCTTACAGGGGAACTAAGCAGTGAGAAAATCCTGATCATCTGATAGAGTTCAGGGTTTGGCATTTTTCTTCTGAAGGACCATATAGTGAGTCTTGGTCTCTGTGGCTTTTATTCAGTTCTGCTGTTAGAGCATGAAAGCAGCCATAAACAGGCTAACAGTGGGGGAGGCTGTGTTCCAGTAACTTTATTTACAAAAACAGTCACTTTTTAGTCCAGTGATTTATAACATTCACTCTGCATTGCATGCCACTTTGGCACACATAATTTGGTAATTTCTCTTTTCACTCCATCCTTTAGCAAACAGCTAAACGTTGACCACACAACAGCCATGGTAGGAAGCTGGTATTTGACTAGGTGGAATGCAGGGATGAGGTGTGGGGACAGGCCCCCATGGGGGAGGACAGGAAGGAGAGAGCAGTCCCAGGAGGCCAGGTGAGGCCCAGAGTTCAGTGGGAGTCAGAAAGCAGGGCTGGGGGAGGGGGGGTAAATGCAGCATCTCCACAGGACCCTGAGGTGATCCTGCACATTGAAGGCAAGGGGGGTACCCTGAGGACACCCGAGTGCCGAACGCTTGTGTTCCACAAGAAAAACAAAAGCTTGCTTCTTCTCAAAGGTGCATAGCATCACGGTACAAAAATACAGGAATGCTTTGAGGAAACAGCGCCCTGTGCACAGCGCCAACAGCCACCACCCAGCTCCCTGGAAACAAGAATCTAAGAAAAGCAACAATCAAGGCATTTCCAGCTCCTGAAGAGCTTTCTAACTCCGGTGGTCCCAGTGATCCAGCCAGAGCAACATCTTACGCAAACCTGTTCTCACTTTCGATATCTGAGTTATTGAAAACATTACAAATTCAGTATGTACATTAGGTACCTGGTGTTTTCCTGATTTGTTTGCGGAGTTTGAGGATTTACACCGCTGTCTTCTTGAGGATGTAAATGGATAACCTCTTTAGATTTTTCATCTGTATTGTTGCTAATTGGCAGAGGGAGAAAAATAGGAAAAATAATTTTATACATTTCAGTCTTGGAAGAAATTAGTGGCTTTCATTTTGAAATTTAGGGCATAATTTGCCTCAAGTTTCTGAAACCTTTGCAAGATATGTAAAAAGAAAACCAAATCCCACCTCTCAAGACTAAACAAGTCAGAGTAGGAAATAATACTAAAACCATCCAGTACGTTGTCAGGAGACTGAATTGCTTATAGACAAGTGTCCATGCCTTAAACATTTGCTTCCAAAGTCATACTGTTTACGCCCAGATGGTGACATTTAAGCTTCACAGGGCAACAGCTTTGCCCTGCAATCTTACATGAGGCCTCCCTCCTCCACTACAGCAGAGATAGAAGTTCTGTTTTCTGTACAATTAACAGCCACAGGCTGGACAGCAGCAGTAGTTGTCAGGAGGTGTATGAGGACTGACAGTAAATCCAAGTATTTAAGCACTTTTAAATGTCAATAACAATCGCGTGTCAATAACAATAGCTAACACTTTCTGCCATTCATCCTAACTGAGACACTATGTTAAGTGAGGAAGCAACTACTATTATCCCTTTTTTAAGGACAAGGAAAATGAAGTGTAGAGAAGATAAGTGCCTTGCTGAGGGTTTCAAGCTAGGAAGTGGGTGTGAACACAGCTCTTACTAATTGCAAAGCCCATCATCTTACCTGGAATGCTACTCTGCCTCTTTAGGAGTTGTTTAAGTAAACAATTCAGTTTACATAAATGAAATGATAAATGGTACAACACCAGTACCTTTAGATGTCAAATGTGTTGGTATTAGGGACTTAAGGATGGAAGCACAGAGTTAACTCACTCCACCACTTACCAGTACTTCCTCATTGCTCAGTTACTCTCTACCCTTTCATGGAGATTAGAAAGAGGACATGCCTGAGACAAAGAAGACTGAGTCAGAAGCAAAGTGTTCATAGAATGAGGAAGGACAAACTTGAGAGCCATGCATGAGGAAGAGTAGAGGGTTGTGCTGACAGGTGTTATGGGCTTCCAAGAAGCAAGGACTACGTGGGTTAGCCAAGGAATAGGGTAAAAGTAATTTTGGATGATAAGTGGTACATGGGGTGTGAGAAAATACAACCTTAATATACATTGAACGAATAGCTATCCAGTTGATTGATGGTAGTTACGAGGTAACAAAAGATGTATTGTTTTCTTCCCTCAGTACCTGGCACAGATATCTGAAACCCTTTTATAATTTTAAGAGCACTAGGATTATCTCTTGTTTTAATATTTGTTGTTTGGCCGCATCTCTGACACAGTTCTCCAAAATCCCTTGTAAAGTCCGAAGTTATAGGAGCACTAGAAAAATCATTTTTTTCAAATGAGGTGACTGGGGTGTGCTCCTGGATAGCTCACCGGGTCACTAGAATGATGAAACCATGATTAGAAGGTTGGAATTTTAGCCCCATCCCCTATCCTCCAGAGAGGGCAGAGAGGCTGGAAATGAAATTAGTAATTGAGCATGCCTATATCCATAAGCTTCCATAAAACCCCTGAGGTATGGGGTTCGGAGATCCTAGTATGTGAACGTATCCATGTATGGATGGGGAAGGTGATGCACCCCAACTCCATGTGGACAGAAGCTCCTGTGCTTGGGACCCTTCCAGACCCCACCCTACATATTTCTTCAGCTGGCTGTTCATTGTATCCTTTCTCATATCCTTTAATAAATGGATAAATATAAGTAAATGTTTCCCTGAGTTCTAGGAACCACCTTAGCAAATAAATCAAACTCAAGGAGGGATTCCTGGGAACTCAGATTTATAGCGCATCTGTCCGAAGCACAGGTGACAAGTTGTACTTGGAATTAACATGTGAAGTGGTGTGGGAATAGTCTTGCAGATCTGAGACCTTAAGCTGTGTGATCTGACATTATCTCTAGGTAGATAGCTTAAGAATTGAATCAAGTTAAATTGTAGGCTAGCCAGCTGGTGGGTATGGGGGGGGGACCCCACACATTTAGTGACCAGAAGTCAAAATTGAAGTGTTCTGTGTGTAGTTAAGAGGACCCACAGTAGGAAAGACGGATTTTTCTAATATAGTGGTTAATGTGAACATAGGAAAACACAGGGAGCCTTTGCACAGAGGGGCCTTTATAGTCTTGTCACACCAAGCATTATACCAACAAAGACCTTAAAGTGCTTTCTCACTATGGACAAGAAGGCTGTTTGTAGAGAAAAGGAAATGGATCAGAGGCAGAAACAAGAGGCTAGGATAAAGGGGCTCTGAATGGACACGTCTAACAGCATAACTCCTCGGTGATCAGTGCATGACTTAGCTTGTTAACATTTGTCTCAGGTATTTAGTAAGCACACAGTGAAATAACTGTGCAAATTATACTTTTTACGAGTGAAATATCAAGCCAGTGAGGTTTTTTAATCGCAAAATGAACAATTTCAAATTTTTAAACATGCAGTCACTCAAAATAAGTAAACAGAATTTCATTCAGACTTTAGAAATAACCTTTACATTTAGCCTGAGATTAAGCATGACAGTGTTCAACCTGTGGTTACTTTTCATTGCCCAGTTAAGCATCTGAAAATAAAGTGTTTTCAATAAGCATGCATTTATCAAACATGATTAAAGCCTCCTAATGAACTTCGACAACAAACCGTGACCCAAACCAAATTGTCATTTGCTCCGGTCTACATGCTCTTCAGAGCCTAAAAGTACCTATTGTTTAGTAATGATTTCAAAAAGTCACAAAACTCGTAAGTCTGCGTGTATGGACTTCCCTAAGTGTTCAGTAAACCTCATAAAGGCTAATGAAGGGCTTAATAAAGGACACAGGCCCTTACAGAAATATTACAATAATCTTATGGTCTCATAACTCAGTAAAAAGGAAGAGAGCGGATACTACGCCCTAGAAGGATAGTGGCTTAATGTACCAGAGTTCCTTAAAAAAAGATCCAAAAGTAGATGGGAAATATTGAAAGAAAAAAGGAATTATTCCAGTTTTGTGCTATATGCAGTACTGGATGATACAGAATCAGATTCAGAAATGAGCAGCTGAAATTATTACTTGATAGCCAAATGGGTTCAGCATTCTGAGTCCGATCATCAGGACTGAAGCCCTACGCCTGAGCAACTTCCTGTTGGTATGATTTTAAGCAAGTCACTGAGTTCCTCTGCACCTCAGAACTTTCTCTGCTTTGGGATAACAATGTTATTGGGCTTACCTACCTCACAGAGTTGCTTTGAGGCAGAAACAAGACAATATATGGTCTTTTGTGAACAAATCTATTAGCCGTTGCTATTCTTTATGAATCTTAACTAGTATACAAATAGAAGTAAAAAAATCATTAAAAATTATTTTTGAAGTAGACTTGCTGTCGTTATCATTTTGCAATGGGTACAAATGCCAAATCATTAGGCTGCACACCTGAAACCAATATAATGTTATATGTCAGTCATACCTCGTTAAAAATAAATCACCTATGGGTGCTCAGGTGGCTCAGTCATTTAAGCGTCCGACTTCGGCTCAGGGCATGACCTTACAATTCATGGGTCCAAGCCCCACGTCGGGCTCTGTGTTGACAGCTGAGAGCCTAGAGCCTGCTTTGGGTTCTGTGTGTCCTCTCTCTGCCCCTCCCCTGCTCACGCTCTATCTCTCAAAAATAAGTATACAAAACAAAAACAAAAAGAAATCACCTAAAAAATTATTTTGAGTACCTATAGGAGGTCCCTGTTCATAAAACGTTCATTGTCTAGGGCATAGTGAGAAGTATAGTACCGACGGAGGAGACGAGAGCTAATTTAATAGAGATAGGGAAGGCCCAATGCAGGGCAGAGGGAGGAAATAAAATACATGATACTCCGCTTTTTAAAAAGTGTCCATTGGACTGGCATCCTCTGTAAATTATCAAAATTTCAGTTTCTGTAAAGCTTGCTGAGGAGACTGTTGGCTTAGAATGTTTACCACAGAAAACTGTTCACTCAAAGTTATAAACTGTTTCTCATACATACAGCATTTGCTCATCAAGCTTGTAACATTGGTATCGGCACCGACCCAACGATTTTGTTATAGATAAATAGTACAAAAGCTGTTTGCATTTTTTTCCCAGTCAAAATGTTTATTTAGACATTAATCTTTGCAAAGCTTTTGCAAGTTTAAAAAGTAAATGGTGTTTATAGAAGTTTTTTTTTTAATACTCCAAAGCAAGTCTCAGTTCTTCCATAGTGGCCGCTGGTGATGGCAGCCAGTGGGACACACTACCTAACTTCTAGGCTGAGTCTGGAATGTTTCAGCAAAACTAGGATACCAGCTGCCTCACTCATCTTTGGAAAAATTCCTTCTGCCCATTTTCTCTTTTGCAAAATTTGAGTCAAAATCCTAAGATTTAAAAAAAAATATTTAGTGTGAATACTTGTCTATCCATAATGTACATCTGGGCCTTCTTTATGAATTATTACATCGGTTTATATAGTAGTGGTGGTTTCTTTTTAAAATTTTTTTTGAAGTTTTTCTTTCATTCCTCTTGTCTTCCAAGAGGAGGTGGGTACAGCTGTAGATGTTTTCTAGGAGAATTTGGTTATACTTACCCTTTTTTGTGCTTTATAATTATCCAACTGGCAATAATGATGAGTAAAAGAAAGATGATCGTGCAAAGGAAAATGCCTAGGTCATAAAACAGAGTCATTGAATGCATGGAAAATATAACCCATGGGTTTTTGACTGGGGATATCAAGTCCCACTAGAGGTTGCCAGTGAGTTTTTTAAAGGCAACTATAAATTCTGCCTGAGAAACACCTCACACAGGCTTCACTTTAAGATTTGCCCTCTGCTCCTGGTTTAATCTGGCACATTAGTCTTACTACCACAGGGTCACAGATAAGGGTTGAGCAGAGCGGTGTGTAGCCTTTAGTCCAAAGCAGCGTTTCATCGAGGAGCTGAGAGCGGCCCTGGGGGGGTCCCACACTCGTGTCCCGTGTGAGGCACAGGCGCGAGCTATTCTAGGCCAGACTCCACGGATTCCCCGGAGGCAAAGTCTACCGCCACACCCCTCCTCTTGCACAGGCAGTTCACAAAAATGGGCTAAGAAAATTAATCTTGGTGACTTCTAATCTGTGCAAGTGGGCGTGACTACCGTCCTGAAGAATCTGCCCTGGGCTATACGCCAAAAAGGACATTGTGTTCTCCAGCCCCGTTGAAATAGGAAGGGTGATTATTCGTTTGTAATGATTCAAAGAGGGTACAGCACCTTTGATAGAGGACTCTCATTCTATGCCTGCGAGGATACCGGTCTTGCCACACCATGGCCTGAACGTAGATTTTGATCTCTCCTTATACATTTCACCCATTGTGAGCGAGTACTTACTGTTCAAGGAGCTAGACTCCTCAGCAAACCCTTCAGGAAACTTACCAGTTATGAGAGCAACAGGCGTGCCTAAAGAGAAGACAAAAGCCAGGACAACATCAGTCCGGCACACTGTGATCAAGCAGGAGTCTCAGCCAAGGCCAATTCATCCTGATATATTCAGCACGCAGTCTATAATGTTTGTCTAATATAGAAAGCCATTGGTTTCTCTCACACAACCTCATTTTATCATGTGCACTCAGCAAAGTATGGGTTTTTTTTTCTATTTAATGTAACATTTTAGCATAAACGTAAATTAATTACAGCAGAGATTATAAAACAGTGCAAAAGAAAAATATCACACATGATCCTACTACCCTGAAATTTTTTGTTCGTGAAGCTGTCCAAAAATTGTGGTGTACATTTCTCCAGCTTCCTAGGCAGACTATGCCTGCCTAATGGTACCTTTTTTCCTACATTCAGCTCCAGAAAGCTATTTCTGGAAGCTATGCCTCCATGATGGCTCTGGTTAGGTCTTCAGGGACTAGAGGGCCTTTAATTCAATCTTTTGTTTTAGGACTAATAATATCTCTCTTTCAGCTTGTTAGTTCTAAAAAGAATGATAGGAGAATGATAGAAGACGGTACAAGTCCGTGCAGTCAAATTGGCTTGGTTAAAAATCAGTTTCATTACAAAATAACCATATATTTGCCATGTTAGGTGATTTCTCTGTGTCTCATTTATCTTATTTGTATATTGGAGTTCACAGCGCAGCACATCTAACTCATAACATCATTCATTCAGTAAGTATTTATGGAGCACATATTATAAACTATTTAATTCTGGGTACTGGGGACAGAGAAGTGAAATAAAAAGCAAAAATCTCTGCCCTCATGGAGGTTTATCTCTCTCTATATATCTGTCTATGTCTATGTCTATGTCTATGCCTATGTCTATCTCTATATATTTCCCCCAACGCAATCTTGAAAACCACTTAATGGGGCAAACTATTTTTATTACTTTAGGCATAATCATTAATTAACTTGCTCGAGATTTCATAGAATTAAAAGAACAAATGTAAAGGACTCAGAGAAGTGCTTGTCCTAAAGGCACTAATAAATAGATAGTAGTTCTTGTTTACTGTTCATAATGTATACGTATTTTTTCTTCACAAATGTAATAGTATCCAAATAATACAGAAATATGTGAAGGAAAAATAAGAGTCCCTGTAATATTCTCCTGTACTGTTAAGAATTTGGCTCATAATTTATTTGGTGGACTTTTCTTCCTAGGGCATCTAAGAAATGAAGTCTTAGGATGTAATAAGCCAAAAATTCTGGTTATAACCAGTATTCATCTAGGAAGCATCAAGTGATTTCTTTGTTTCTTTCTTTCTTTTTTTATTTCCCTTTGCCAAATGTTCTCTAGAGAACAAAATCACTTTGGCTGAGAACCACTGATATTTTTTAATATCCTGAAATGTTTTGGTACATTCCTTTCTGGGACATTTTTCCATGCATCCAAGTTTTACGTAGTACTAGACTCTCTATATGTATCTAATATTTGAACAAAGGAAGTAAGTGCTGAAAATATGTTAACTTTTGCAATCCTCACAACCACCACTGTTGCTAATTTGCATGGTAACACTATTAGCTCTTCATTATATTTGCACATATTTCTCATCTGGCTAATGTCTTCTATTTACTTTTCAGAGTACTGTAAATTCTAAGTCAAATTTTTTGGCCTTTAATGATGTTCTCTATCCTATCAAAAATCTCAAACCATTGGCTGCCTTCTAGCTGCTTCATAAACATTCTTCTTTTTATGGTTTACCTTGGCTTTTCCATATTCACTTTGAAAACTTCTCTTTATCCAACCTGGTATTTATTATAAGATAAAAAGAAAGGGTCTACATTTTCTTCAGTGCTACCTAGAGTATTTGATCATCTTTTTCTTTCCCATGGATTGATGTTATTAATTTATTATATTAATAAATACATAATAAATACATTAAAACATAATTTATTAATGTTATTTCCCATGGATTGTTATTAAATTTTATTTATAAGATACTTTTGTTTTTAATACTCTATTTTATTAATATCTGTTTTGTTCCACTTATAGAAAAAAGTTTATTTTTGTGCTGGCATAAAGTGATTTATGCAATGTGGCTTTATAATTTGTTTTGATGCCTGGTTGGGCTGGGTCCTCAATTACGTGAATTTTCTCTCTTAGCCACATCTCGAGGATAGTCTAAAGGCATCCAGTCAGTTCCACAGTGAGATTTTCGCCAAGGAGGTGAATATAATTTGACATGAAGAGAGTGTCAAGTTTATAATTTGGAAATATTACTGAGTCAACTTAGTTAATGTGTTTAAGGGATTAACTGTAAAAAAATAGATCCTGAACAATCTTAGTATTATAAAAACAATCAGGTATTATAAAAAAGAATTGTGGAGGGCAACCTTGCACTAATTTAGATTGTCTGTTGAAATAACCTATTTTTTTTTGGTTATTTCTTATGCCCCAATAAATACTGTAGTAAACCCTTTTTCAAAAAAATTATAAGAATTATGGAGGGCAGCCTAGCACTACTTTAGATTAAGGATGATGATACATTGTTAACATTGCTCATCAGGCAACTTGATGTGTACAAGTTTGGGGGTTAGGATTTTCTATTAAACATCATTCTCTATTTGCCAGCAGAGGGCCACTTTTCTACGGAGCTCAACAACGCATGATTTCTAAATTGCTCTATCCAGCTGTACCAGCTTAAAATTCCATAGCCTACACCATTGAGGGAGGCTGACCATCTGGCCTCTGCAACTGGGAAAGTTCTCCCTCACTCATGTTGAAGTATTCTTGAAGGTCTGCTTTACCACTGAGGTGCTTCTGGCTTTTAAGGCCCACAGGCTGTAGACAAGTCATTTCCATGCCATGCAATTAGCAATAAAGTAATACAGACAAAAAAGGGTCAGAGAGAGTCCTGAGGAGAGTTGAATGGGCTGAGCACTGTGAGAAAAGCAAGGCTTGCCTTACTTTCATTGCCAAGGGCTTTCTTGGAAGAATTAGGGGCTCTCCCACTGGACTCCTTTGCTCTTAGCAGGTGCTGTACACATGACACCACATTCAGTGACAGTATGGACGAGTGAATGAACAGTGACCATGACTAAGGTAGGACCTACATTTATTGCAGTTGCACTTACTAGATGTACATATGGCCAGAGGAGGGTCCCATGTGTTATCTGCCTGGCACTGGCTCTGGGGACTGCCTTCCAGAGTATACCCATCTTCACACTCAAAAGTTACATTATCTCCATGGTGATAGATGTTCCTCCTTTCCAAGTCCTTCCGGATTCCATTCATAAACTCTGGGAGGCTACAGTTTACCTCTGAAATTAAAAAAATCAGAAGGAAATTGATATTTTATTAATTGTTAATCAAAACTACCATAACGGAAAGATCTATGACCCCAAACTACTTTGCCTTCAGCAAAGATGAGTCATGTTTTCAGTCAAGAACTATTGACACCCACTCAACATCTTACAGTTTTAAATTATTTCCTGTTTCTTAGGTAAAGTAAGAGAATATGGAATGTGCTACAGTCCACTCTTAATTATTGACATCTCTCCAACCGTAAAGTTGCTGACAGATTGGGAGTTATGATAACCATGTTCTAACCCTGGATTCACTTGGGTCCCACTGTAACAAAAGCAGAATATCACATTACCTCTCTCTAGGTATACAACAAATACTGTATTTTGCTTTTGATTAACTGCATGTTTCTGGCTCATTTCTATGCATAGAACAAAGATGCCAGTAAATCATGATTCTAAATTTAAAACATAATTTTAAAATTTAATTTATCTTATCTCATCTCATGTATCTTATCCTTTGTTTTGCTTTCTTCTCTGCCTAGCTATAGATACCTCCTTCAACAAGCAAAGCCTGCTATTCAGTTGTAACTGTCCCAAAATTAAGCTAAATTATTATTTTTTTTAAAGAACCAACAGGGTGAAATGGTATTTCCCAAAATGTGGTCTGTGGTCTTCCTACATTAGAATATGCTGATGGATTTGTTAAAAATAGACCTTGAGACCCCACCTCAAAATGTCAGAATCAGAGTTCTTAGGAATGGAGCTTGAGATTTGAAACTTCTTAACCTGCTTCCTGGCTGATTTTGCTAATGCTAAGGACATAGAATGACCATTATAAAGCACGTTTGAAAAGGACAGTTATTAAGACAAAATGAATTTTACTTGAAAGCAGCTGCCAAGAAAATAGAATAGTAGCCTCTTAGATTCAGCAGAAGAAACTTCCCAGAGTCTTAATTTCAATAATCAATCTTTGAAGTATTCCCTGAATCTTCATACCTCTCCGTGTAACTAAAGCCAGGAGGGGTGAGCTTTCTTCCTATTTCTGCAGGGGCACAGGGACTCTGCAGCTTTTGCAGTCCATTCTTGCAAATAAATACGGGAGAGCCACTTACCATCTCTGCAGAGGATATTTTCTCTATCTCTAAAATCAGAGATTTTAGGCCAAGCAGGACTTCTGAGACTTTTAGGTTGGGGAGAGCCCCATGATCCCGTAACCACCACAGCAGCCATAACATTGGAAACACAGGCCTGTCTGAGGCCCCTCCTACCTCATCCCTGCCCTTCGCCTAGTTTACTAAAAAGAAAAGGAGATAAAAAGCAAATCGCCAACTTGCAGTTATGCAAAGTCAAAAAGAACCACATTTAATAAGAGAATACAGTGTGGTGTTCAAAAGCACGGGCTGGGCAGTCACCCATCTTGGCACCACCACTGGGGGTGCTGCAAATCATGGACTAGTTACTGGGGCTCTCTATAACCTCTTCTGTAAAATAGCAAGCATAATCCCACCTCATCAGATTCTTTTGGAGACTAACACAAATGACTTTAAAAACATTTATTTATTTTTGGGAGACAGAGAGAGACCGAAGATGAGCAGGGGAGGGGCAAAGAGAAAGGGAGACACAGAATCTGAAGCAGGCTCCAGACTCTGAGCTGTCAGCACAGAGCCCGACATGGGCCTCGAACCCTCAAACCGCGAGATCATGACCTGAGCTGAAGTCGGACGCTTAACTGACTGAGCCACCCAGGTGCCTCCAAATGACTTTATAAAGACCTCAGTACCATATTTAGTCACAGAATAATATTTTTAATTCCATATTTTGTGGGGTTTTTTTTTAAAGAATATTGCCAAAAAAAGATTTTTGAAGTCAGATGCCAGTTTTGCAAACATAGACAGGAATAAAAGAAATAATTCCTGGCACTTGCTCTAGGGAAGAGATGAAATAGACATTTCACCTTTGGTCTTGGAAATTATAATGAGGACCCATATCCAGTAATTCCAGTAATTAATTGCTCTCAACCTTCCTCCATATTTCAGTTTTCCTCATGAGAAAGTGTGCTTCCAGTCTCCTAGTTAAGGTATTTATGAAGACCACTTGTAAATCCTCTGAGGCCCGTTAGAGCTGAGATATCTTATTAGGTAAAAGCCTGCAAAGCATTTTAAATTGGTGTTTGATGTCTATTGTATTCCTGGAAATTCCATCCATTCTTATTACATATTTGGTCGAGTTGAGAATCTTCGGGCAGCCTCCTTTGTATCTTTTTTTTCTCCTTTTCTCCCCTGTCTATTGATATTCATTTCACAATCCTCTCAGAAAGCCCTTAGCCTTATCAGCCTCATTCATCAATTTTCCATTAAAAAAAACCACCCAGAAATAATAAGAAATACCTTTGCAGTAAGCCTTGAATTGGCTCCAGGTTCCCAGGTGTGTACAGAATATGAAGTTCCTTCCCACCAACCAGTAGCCTGGGTCACAAGTGTAGCTGACTGTCATCCCAGGAAAGTGTGGAGAGGCTTGTCCTCCAGTGGAATGCCCATGGAGGATCTTGGGTGGAAGTGGGCATGCTAAGAACGAGAAGCACCCCCAAAACACAAGAAAAGACATTCAATTAAACAAAGTACAAATACACCAACATCTCTAATAATATCTTATTGGAGCCACAGGAAGACCCAAGGGAGTCAGGTCCCAAGGCACTAAATATTTACTGATTCCTGGGAAGAATGATTCTACAAACGGAGACCTCTCAGCCTCTAAGCAGGATCATATGTATTATTCACCTGCCCACTGCACCAGATGAGAATACCATCAAGATCTCAAATGACCAGTTCAAGGCTGTCTGCCCTCGCTGATGCACAGGGCTTGTGTGGACAATCATGGCCACAAATGAGCCTCCAATTGTCAGACATTGTCACTCAATGCCAGACTAATACATAAAAGGAATGAGTTGCTAAGAGCAAAACCTTGAATTCTGCTTCTCTAGGGTGTCTTCAGTTCCCATTGCTAAAAGCGAGACAAAGGGTCAACAAAATGCAGTTCCAGGCTGAGCAGAACACTTAGAAGTAATGAAAGGAATACAAATGCCTACATTGGAGTTTATTTCTGTAGCATCAAATCTGAAGTAAAATAAGGCCGTCAACATGTGCCTTTTGCTCTGCACACCCACTTATTTTGTGGGTATAAAGACAACTTGTACTGGCACGACAGAGCATTTTCCTTGGCACTTGTATTTTAGTGCTTTGAAAATATTCTCTATGAAATCTGGGCCTCAGGATTCTTCTCACTCTCCACCTCCTCCTCTTCGCACTATCCCACACTCCTCACCCCAGTGGGAATGATCAGCAGATTGTCCCACTGATGGGGACACAGCATGGCACATCTAGAACCCATCTGTTATTTACCCGGCAGGTAATTCTATATGTCTGACTTTTATTAACAAAGCCACATTCACAAGCAAAAACGACTGTCACCACAGAAATGAGGACGTTCTCATCTAGATATTCTGATCTATCTGGGGCATAGGAAAGTGGGTACTGACGAGCAGGTCCAGAAGGTTCACAGTAAGGGGCAGGGCCGCTCCACATCCCATTCCCTTCACTGTCACTTGTGCAGCGGATGGTGCTCTTCCCGACGAGGTTGAAGGTTATCCCTCTGGCTGAGTGGGGGTCACATGTGTAGGTAATTTCCTTTCCATAAGGAACGCCTCCCTGAGAAGTTCCGGTGTGGTTCCCATTAAGGATAGATGGAGGGCTTGGACAAAAGATTTCTAGAAAGCAAGACAGAAAGCAAGAGCTTTAGATCGCACTAGAGTTTTAATCAAAACGATCCTACAGACGTGGTGCCCTGAGACTGTATTTTTTACACGAGAACACAGTGAAGTGGACGGATTTAAGTATGTAAGGCTTCTTTGGAGAAGGAACTAACTGAAGTGAGACTTTAATTACAGTTTAATGCAAAAGTCCAAGACCCTCCGGGTAGCTAACATTTTCATCAATTTGAAAGGTAACTAATTTGTTTTTTCAACAACTGTCATTTGCCTATTTTATGTTTGGCAAAAGACAGTACTGGGTTGACAGTGGGATACAAGAAAGGCAAGACTGGCCCTCAAAGATCTGAAGTTGCAAAGAAATCTTCATGAATCTTATTAAACACAGATGACCTTCAGCAGACATAACTGTTTCTTAATGATTCAAGACCATTATCATCCCTAACAATAACAAATACACAATAGTATCTTTAAGATACGCTGATTATAGGACTTTTCAGAGCCAGATTAAGTGGCTCTAGGGAGTCTTTTTTTTCCTGTTTTTTTTTTTTTCATTCTTCCAAGTGACCAGCTGTCCTTTCTTCCTGCTGTTAGTATCTGTTTCTAGCAGTTCACAATTTGATGTTTTGAATCTAATATGAACTTAAGAATAGATACCCAAGTCTGTCAGAATTGAGTGTCTGTGAACAAAAATCATGGGGAAATTCCGTGGTGATTTTCTTGGGATAAACTCTGGGAAATGGATTTACTGGGTTAAAGGGTATTTACATTAAGGCATTTGTATATATTGCTCATTAGCCTTCCAGAAGTGTGTGCCCACTTTTACTGTCATCAGTTCTGCATGTTTGATCCTGATTTTCTTATAGCCTAAATATTTAACCAAGTTACAATCAGTCATTCTTCCATGTTCCTCAAAGTTTTGGAGGTTCACTTTACAATATACTGCTGATAAGATGCAGGGTCAACTAATCAAGAACAAATACAGGCAGGAAGAATTTAAAGAAAGGATAAAGCACAGAACGACCAGAGGCTTGGTGCAATGGCTAAGATTTATGAGATCTTACTTCCTTTTTCAGAGTAAAAATAATAAGGCAAGGAGTTATCTACTTCTTGGGCTTATCATGTGCTACTAAGAGGTGGCTGGGCTTATCATGTGCTACTAAGAAGTGGCAGAGACAACTTTTATTTTCTTCAGTGTCTTTTAAGTTTAGTCATGAGGAAAAGCTTTACCCTGGGAAGCATTTACTATCAGAGTAGAAAAGGAGGGCAATTTTACCTGAGTTCAGATTCACAGTTTCAGACAAACAGCCTCCTAAAATAAAGAAGCATCTGGAGAACTATGTAGCATAGGACTCTGGATTTCAAATATCAGAGAGACTACTCTCTGCACGATGGATTCGATCTCCTCTTTGTAACATGAGTCAGATACGGATGGACCAGAGGGAATTATGGGAAAAAATACTTCCACTTACTCTCACAAATAGGTGTTTCCTTATCCCAAGTGACAGTATTGCCTGAGAGATGACAAGTAGCAGAAGGGGAGCCAATGAGTCGATACCTAGAAACAGAATGAAAAATGATTATACTCTACACTTACTTCTTGGTTAAGTGGCCATGAGAAAATAACTGCAGGTAGATGTTACAAATTACAGGCAGATTAAAACATAGGAGAAGTCAAGGAAGAAACCTCACCTCTATCTGCAAATTAGTCGTTCTTTTTTAAGGACAAGTTTATGTTCTTATTGCTTTTAATCCATGTTTGTTCCTAGTCCCTCACCACTGGGCACAATAATTCCCTTCACTGTGGGACATTTTGTACTTGTCTTCAGGGAACCTCAGGGGCTATTTTACTCATGTGTACTTCCATCAAGGAAATTATAAGCTCCTTGATTAATAGGGAAGATGTCTTATTGAAATATTTACATCCTCTAGCACCTTGCTTAAAGATCAAGCATGTGGTACTCAAAGGACAAAATGATGGCCTTGCTAAGAAGATTCAAAAGTGAGAACCAGAGGAAACAGCTAACCATCTTCACACCTTAAATGTAAAAGGCAGGGGTACTTAAGTATTGTGCCATCAAATCGTTCAAAGTAGGCCACAAAATCCGGAACATTTTGTCATTGTTTATTTTTTAGTTATTAGGTATCTATACTGTTACTGTAAGATATGTCACAAAGGATATGGAGCTAAGCCATTCACACGTTCCATTTGCAGTAGGGTTAAACTTGATTAAGTAAAAGGTAAGGGCTATTATGCAATGTCATATAATAGTGAGTAGTTATTGGAACAGCTAAGAATTTTGTTTCCTGAATACCCAAGACATGTGATCAGGACAATAACCACTTGTAGCAGAGTCTACGGACATCTCCAATATCTGCTTTCCTCTTCTTCATTGGTAATGAAACTGTGTAGTTTTACATGGTGGCCATTGGCCACGTTCATTAAGGGGGCATGGGAGAGTCCATTATGTAAGGTCAGGGATGGGATAATTGAGGGATGGAAGGTGGTGCTCCTTCTATCCTTTCTATTTGTTCATGGACTTTTAAGTATTTTGGAGTAGAGGGAATCTATGGAGACACTCAATAGGCTGCAAAGGGTTAAAAGTAGCTTACAGATAAGATTTTGCAGCACAAATCATATAACAATATGATAATCAAAACACAATTTTGTATTAAACTTTGTACCTTAAAGAGAATATAAACTTTCTCTCTAGGAGCCATTTATAAAAGTTGTATCATATCGCTCAGCAGAGTGTATCCCAGAATCCGCACATAGAAGAAATCAAAACAGCTATACACTCTCATTATAATACAACAACAGTAGGAATTAATAACCACAAAAGAAATACTAAATTCAAGGTTTTGGATCATGGTCAAAGGCAAAATTAAACAGTCATTGCAGATTACCTATAGGATAACAACAATACATAATCATTGAGTCATGTGCCCAAAACTCTTCCAAGTGCTTTTCATTGATTAATTTAATCTTTAATATGATTCCTTGAAGTGAATATTTGCATGACCCCAATTTTAAAAAAGAGGAAACAGAGTTTAACAAATTTTTCAAATTCCTATGACAGATATTGAGGTTAGAGTTTGAGTAATGTTAACTGACCTTAACAGCCTATAGTAATAAACCTTACATTATTCAGCTACTTCATTACAAATATTGATGCAAATATTACTCGTTGAAAATGTCCAGGACACTGATGCCAAAACCATCCTTAGAGACATATTTAGTACTTTCGTTATTTGACAAGAAAATTTTCAAATAAATGAACACAACATTTTATGTTAGACATTTTAAAGACTATAAACATGAACATATGTAAGAAGCTGGTCTGAGGAATTACTGAAATAAACAATTAAGAAAAATAGAATGTAAATGATGAATAAATCTAAGAGCCATTTCTTTAAAGTGGTCAATTAAATCAAACAGTGCTTGGGCCATTGTAACTTGACAAAATGACACATCTATAAATATTACATGAATGAGAAAATAGTTATCATCACAGATATTGAAGAAACTCAATACTTTATATAAGCATTATATCCTCTCTATCTTAATAAATTTGAAAACATCCATGAGATGTGTCATTTAGAAGGAAAAATAAAATTTATCAGAATGTACTTAAAAATAGGTAGAATAGCTGATAAACCCATATCTGTCTGAGCGTCTGTGTTTCATCTTTTTTGATTTGTCCCCAGGATTGGAATTGCTGGATCATATGGTAATTCTGTGTTAACTTTTGAATCACCAATAGATTTTCCACAGAGGCTGCACCATTTTACATTCCCAGGAACAATCACAAGGGTTCCTTTTTGTCCACATCTTCACCACATTTTTATTTTCCATTTTAGCCATCCTGTAAGGTGTGAAGTGGGTTTGATGGCCTAACACTAGGCTTGAACCCACAGACTGTGAGATCACAACCTGAGCCAAATCAAAAGTCAGACACTTAACTGACTGCGCCACCTAGGCATCTGGCTGTTGCTACTATTTTTTTTATATTCCTTTGGTCATACGGCTTTGTTCAAGCTACCATCTCTGTCCACAAGTTCCTATTGCTAACTTTTTGAAGTGCCAGTGATATCTAGTGTGCCTGGTTCG